AAAATTTTTCTATTAACCCGTTTGCCTGTTGGGCCAACAAAAGCATTTCAGATAAATATGGAAATTTCTGGTTTCATTTAAAAAAAAACAACCAAAAGAAGACTTCATAGAATCAGCCTCAAATTCTTTTCTCAACTCTGCATGTGGATGCCCTTGCATAGGCTAACAATCCTCACAATTTCCTCTTCCAAGTAACGTTGTTCTGTAGCCATGTGATCTTTACCTTTGTAATCTAGCTCACGTTCTTTTTTGGATACTTTTTGAGTGGTTTCTTCGCGGTCGTCATTGTTAAGCTTGGGCTTTGGTCCGGGTCCTAGCTCGTTTCCTTGGTCATAATCATAAATCATGGTCATAAAATAGAAAATAGAAGCATTGTTAGAAAGAAAAGAAAATGCGCACTATCCACCTTGTGCCTCCCCTTGATCGAAATTATGAGTGCTTTGATCGTTTCCTGAAATTGTACTTGCATTAGCAGTTGGTTCCCTGTTACTAATAAAAGATTAGCGCGAACCTCCGTCATTAGGATAATCCTCCTCTTCTAGCTTATTGCTTTCGTCTTCTGACATGAGCACCTCTACTCATCCACTGCAAATAATGTTTAATTTCTAAAGAGTTACCACTGCACTATACATTTGATTGAAAATTATGCATAAACTTCTTAAAATATTATGAGTTTATGCAAACTTCAATTGGAAATCCAATTTCTGTGGGAAAGCAGCACAAATACCAACAACCATTAGGAAAACGGTTTGTGTCAAGTTGGTCAACTTCGAAAGGTCATAATCTACTTTTGTAGGTGAAGAGCCTTTGTTAAAGCTGGCTTTGCAGAACGAAATGTTGAAGTCAAACATGCGGATAAAAATGGTATTAATTGAAGGAGTGATCATATTTTTGGGACGGCTGTGGATATATCTTAGCACTCATACAATAGACATACAGTTTAGCAGAGGTAACATCGGCTGCATTACCGGTGAGATATTTTTTGTCTCTATTAATTCCTTGATTTTTCCAGTTTTGTTCCAGTTTGCTAAAGAGGGGGTAGGTTAACATGCTAATTACAAATATGATATTTTAGGTCGTCAAAGTATGGAAATATCTTATTGTACGTCACATATTGGCTTAACATTTCCTCAAAAAGTGACTTAATTACCTATCACACGCCTACCAAACACCTCTTCCATATCGCACATTCAGATCTTCCTCAATGACGTTGCCAGTGTCCGAGTTGACATGCCCACTCAGCAACTGTTCTACAGAGCTCAAAATCCAAATTGACTGAGTTTTGAGGCACAGCCAGTCTTCTCGATCTTCCTCTCTAATGAGTCTATGTGCTATGGCTATTAATATTAAGTATTCAAAAACTTTCATCAATATCGGAATGTGTTGACGTGGTCATAACACAGTCGACACTGCGGCAGACATTCATCCATATGGGAATTTGTTAACGTGGTCATGCCACAGTCGATACGGAGGCACTACATCAGAGGACATCGCAGTAGCAGTGGCTGCTGTGTTTTGCTCGTGGAGCCAACCCGGTGTTAGTCTTTGTCTCATTACCATATACTTTACTTGCGTAAAGTAACCGTCCGAGCATTTGAAGATGTTGCAGAGATATTTTTCAAACTGAAACATGGTGCGCACTTTACTAAGTTCATATGTTTCCATGTTAGTGATACGTAGATTCACTAAATCGGAAAATGCTTGCGAGACGCCGCTGTTTAATTTATTTGTAAACAACGACGCGGCATCAAATGACTTCATTATGCACTTTGGCCGATCGTAGATATTTAGGGGGTTGGCTGCTCTTAGGCAAACGTATTGGATGACAACCTTATTTTTAAAAATAGGATGTTCTATCTGCTGCGCCTCCCACACAATAGCTGGTAGAATCTTGTAGGATATAGCGAACTCGAGTTGTAAGTTAAACGAGAGAGATAATGCCTTTACATGAGGGAGGAGAGAAGGGCTGTCAACAAGCTCGCTAAGATTTTCATCTAGGCCAACCGCTTCCCCAATCAGCCGTACGTGATTCAGCTTGCAATGGAAAAAAGTTTATTTTTTGAGTTGCAATGGTAAATAGTCAATGACTTCCTGTCATAGCACGATCTATTGCAAAATTTGCAGCATGACCAATCTCCTCCTCTCATATTGCGAGCAATACCGTTTTCAATCAATCAATCAAATTTCTAGCTAACAGAGCGCTAGCAAGTACTCTAGCATTCTTGTAAGAAAGGCCAAAACAATTCCAATCTGGTAGCGTACAGCCCACAAAATCGCACGTCGAAAAAGAACAATCAAGATAGACTTGTGATGAGTTGACCCGTAACAAAGCAAACGGCTATGCGTAGAACGGGTGTATTTCAAGAATAACGATAGCTGGCAGCATATGCTGAGTCAATTACGTGCACGCGGAATACCCCGCCCTTACACAGTATGCATGTAGCGGCAGCTACAGTAACTGCTGCAATTACCTTCGTCCACAACAACTTTTTTCTCAAATGGAACATCACTGTTGTGATGCTATTTTGAACTTATGTGAATACAAGCCGATTTCTAGTGTTGAATCTAAATCAGTGATTTTTCAGTTTTCATCCTGTAGTATTCGTCATGTCTGTCTAGCTCTTTCTTAGAAAATCGCATTGGAAGAAGTGGTTTCGCTGTAACCTTTTTTATTAGTTCTAAAAAGCTTCTTCGATTTATATAAACAGCTAGTAAGCTGCTA